TCCTTTTTGTTTTATTGATGGTTTCTTTTGTTGTGAAAAAACTTTTAAGTTTGATGTAGTCCCATATGTTCATTTTTTTCTTTTACTTCCCTAGCCCACGGGGATGTATCAGTAAAAATATTGCTCAGGGTAATGTCTGCAAATTTAGACCCTATACTTTCTTCTGTGAGTTTTATGGTCAGCAATTCTTTCTTAGTAACGCTTATCTCTGGTGCTGATCACTGAAGTCCTTTTTAAAGTCTTAGTTTGCTCATTGTTGAGATTTGTCACTGGTGTGCTGGAATTGTTTGTCAAATGACGGTAATAAAAAGTGATTTGTTTGAATTATTTCCGCAGCTGGTATAAAGCTAATTACAGCATGGCTGAGAAGTTAGACTGGGGCCGAGGAATGGGCTGTGACTTTGTCCAGAAGAGCTGTAAATTCTGGATTGATCAGCAGAGAAAAAAGTAAGAATATATTTCCTCATAATGTCTTTGATAACACAACTAATTTTGATTTTGTTTTTTAGAGCCTAAAATGTCCCTATTTTCAAAATGTGGTCTAAACAGTTTAATTTCAAAATGTGTAGAAAGCCATCTGTAGTGCTTGGTGATAATACAATAAGTAGCTGCAGTATTGTTTTAAATCATATGCTAAAAGGATCTACAGTGTGGGAGCCAGAGCCATAAAGCATTTCTGTTTAGACCGTAATTCATAAATACGTATATTGCAAACTTTTTGCATACTCTGTCGTTGTTTTCTTCAGAAAATGCACTCATAAACATAGATGCAACTGTTGATTCAGTATCAAAGAACATGAAGATATTTTTGAATAGTGGTTCTCAAATCTGTATGCACAACATAATTACCTAGTAAGTGTTTTTTTAAAATACAGTTTCCAATTTTGGGAAATACACACACACACACACACACACACACACACACACACGAACACACACACACTTATATGTTATGTGTGTTATAAATATATTTTTTTAACTTTCTGAGACAATTGCAGATTCACATGCAGTTGTAAAAAAATGCACAGATATCACATACAAGATCTGATAATTAGGTTTGCGAACTTGTTGCAACGATGTTACTAACCTTTTTTGATATCAGAAGGATTGTTCGTTTTGAATTTGTACCAACTGAACAAACAGTTAACCAAATTTACTATTTGGAAGTGCTGAAAAGGCTGCGTGAAAAAGTTAGATGACCGGAACTTTTCGCCAACAATTTGTGGCTCTTGCATCATGACAATGCACCAGCTCACACAGCACTATCTATGAGGGAATTTTTAGCCAGCAAACAAATAACTGTATTGGAACACACTCCGTACTCACCTGACCTGGCCCCCAATGACTTCCTTCTTTACCCGAATATAAAGTAAATAATTGAAGACATTTTGATAACATTCAGGACATCAAGGGTAATACGATGACAGCTCTGATGGCCATTCCAGAAAAAGAGTTCCAAAATTGCTTTGAAGAGTGGACTAGGCACTGTCATCAGTGCATAACTTCCCAAGGGGAGTACTTCGAAGGTGACCATAGTGATATTTAGCAATGAGGTATGCAGCACTTTTTCTAGGATGAGTTTGCGAACTTAATTGTCAGACCGCGTACATACTTTATCTAGTTTCCTGGATTGGTAACATCTTACAGAACTGTAGTACAATATTACAACCAGGATGTTGCCACTGATTCAGTCAGATACAGAACATTTCCATCATCACAAGGATCCCTCCTGTTTACCTTCTATAGCCACATTCACTTCCCTCCCAACTCAGCCCCTGCTTAGCTCCTGGAAACCACTAATCTGTTCTCCATTTCTCTAATTTTGTCCTTTTAAGAATGTTATATAAATTTTTTCATACTGTGTACAAGTAATCATTATTGATTGTATTCATTATAATGTGTGAAAAAAAATAACAAAAGTAATCCTTTGGTTCTTCTCTTTGTTTCTTCTACAGTTTTGCTAGAAGTTCATCAATTTTACCGATCTTGTTAAAGAACCAGCTTTTTGTTTCATTGATGTCTTCTATCGTTTTTCTATTTCTTTTTAAATTGGGGAACAGTATGTTTTTCCAGGACCCGTCAGCTCCAAGTCAAGTAGTTGTTTTAATCTAGTTGTGGAGGGCACATCTCAGAGGCCCTTGTGGGATCGAACCGGCAACCTTGGTGTTATAAGCACTGTGCTCTAACCAACTGAGCTAACTGGCTGCCCCTGTTTTTCTGTTTTCAAATACATTGATTTCTGCTCTTATCTTTATTATAGCATCCCTTCTGCTTGTTTTTAGTTTTTTAGTTTATTCTTCTTTCTCTAGATTCTTAATTATTGATTTGAGATGTTACTTCTTTCTGTTGTATTTAATGCTTTAAGTTTCCCTCTCAGCATTTCTTTAGCTATATCCCACAAATTTCCGTATGTTGTATTTTTATTTCCATTCATATCTTAGTCTGCTCAGGCTGCCATAACAAAATACACTGGGTGGCTTAATCAACAGAAATTATTTTCTCATGGTTCTGGAGGCTGGAAAGTCTTAAGATCAAGGTACCTGCCATTTTGGTTCCTGGTGAGAGTTCTCTTTCTGCGTTGTAGACACCTGCCTTCTCACTGCATCCTCACGTGGCAGAGAGAGTGCACTCTGGTCTCTCTTCCTCTTCTTATAAAGACACGAATCCTATCAGATTAGGACTCCACTTTTATGGACTCATTTAACCATAATTACTTCCTAAAGACCCATTCTTCAAAAATAGTTGTATTTGGGGTTAGCGCTACAATACATGAATTTTGGGGGACATGATTTAGTCTATAGCAGTTAATGCAATTTTTTTTTTAATTTCCATTGAGACTTCTTTTACCCATGGATTATTTAGAAGTATGTTATTTAGTTTCCACGTATTTGAAGATTTTCCTGTTGTCTCTCTGTTATTGATTTTCCAGTTTGATTCTATTGCAATTGGAGAATACACCCTGTATATTTTAATTCTTTTAAATTTGTTGAGGTTTGTTTTATGGCCTAAGATATAGTCTATCTTAGTAAATGTTCCATAGGCACTTGAAAATAATGTATATTCTGCTATTGGGTGGAGTGTTCTGTAAATGTTGATTATATCCTGTTCATTGATGGTGTTCAGTCCCTCTATATCCTTGCTGATTTTCTGCCTAGTCATTTTAACAATTGTTGAAAGATCTCACCACCATGTCAGTCTTCAGGTCCCAAGGTCCCTAACTGGTCTGGCTTCTTCTCTCTATCTTTCAGAGTGTTCTTACGTTTGTTTTTTTTACAATGTCTAAGCCCTTTAGTTGTACTTAGAGGGAGGAAAGGGAAAAACTACATCTCCATCTTCCCGAAAGTGGAAGTGGGACTTACATTTTTATTTTTATATTATATATTTATAAGGTTTCCCAGGTTACTGTGATGCATTCAGACTGTGAACCTCCATTTGGGAATAATATAATGTTGAATTATCCCACTTATTTGGCAATTTATGATTAATAGGACTTTCAAGTAGCCCTATTATCATCATTCCTAAAAGGAACCCTCTAAAATAGAACTAGTACCTTCAAATTTTACTGATAAGTAAAAAGTTTGAGACAAGGTGGCTTGCCCAGGGTCAGATAGCTGACAAGGGACAGAGCTAGGATGTCAACTTCTCCCTCCAAGTTCAGCACCTTGCTCATTAAATCACAGGTACTTCTTGTGCTGTAGGATATATTATTGTTAATAATAATAATAATAATAATAATAATAATAATGTTTTCTCACCTGAGCTAGGTCTCAAAGCAGTTCATATTACTCATAGTTTCTAATAAGGAGTCTGATGTCTGAGTCATAACCCTGCTATGAAAAGAGCTGCTAATAAGCGGTAGCAGAAAGTACCTGCAGCTACTTTGGGGACAGCTAGTTAAGTCCAGCACCATATCGTGATTTGCTAGTGTGGTGGTGTCCAAATTTTGCTGCACATTAGAATCATCTAGAGAGATTTAAAAAAATCTCCATGCCCATGTTGCTCCCCGTACCAAATAAATCAGAACGTCTGGAGATGGGAGCCAGGCATTGGTATTTTATTTATTTATTTACTTTATAGCTGAGCCATCCTGCCACCTGTTTGGCAGCTCAGCGGCAGCTCAGTTCCGGCCGGACATTGAACCGCTGTTGCTCAGAGCTCACAGTCTTGAGCGAGCTCTTAACCAACTGAGCCACTCGGCCAGCAATTGGTATTTTTTAAAAGAGATCCCCAGGTGATTTCAATGTACAACAAAGTTTGGAAACCCCTGTTCTAGTCTGTTAAAGGAAGTAGGTAGCTAACATTGCAGCTGCAAGAGTATATAGAGATTTTTTTTTTCTTTTAACAGCTGCAACTCTGTTCCCCTTTGGGTCCCAATTATAGGATAGCCTAAAACCAAAAACAGAAGGAAATTTCCTCTTCTCCACTCTTCAAAACTGAAACTGTTGGTCTCCCGAATTCTCTTTTATCCTTTGAACCATAAGCTAGATATTGGCAAACTTTCTCTATAAAGGGACAGATAGTAAATATTTTAGGTTCTGAGGGTCGTATAGTCTCTGTCACAACTACTCAACTCAGCTTTTGTACATCAAAAACAGCCATAGACAAAATGAATGGGCATGGCTATGTGCCAGTAATACTTTATTTACAAAAATATGTTGTGGGAGAAACAAAGACAAAACACAACAGGCCATGGGCAGGATTTGACCCAAGAGTTGAAGTTTGCTAATGCCTGTCATGAACATTCAATTGTCCTACTTGTGAAGCATCTCTGTCCAAAAGTATTCACAGGACAGCCTGTCTGACTATATCCCCATGTTACTGTAGAGATTTCAGCATAATCCTTCCTGAGCACAGGGGCTGGTGCTTAACTTCAGTGGCAACAACCCTCTCTCTCTATGGTTGGGTGACTGGTTTGAGAAGTGAATGGTTGTGCATACCCAGAGCCATACTCATTTGAATTACTTGAATGTACCATGCACACACAAAATAAGTTTCTATGTTTTGAAACAACTAAACACGATAAATTACGCAACTCCTCTGCCTAGCTTATTTGACATTAATATCAGCTGTAGAGCTGCACTGTCCAGTGTGGTACCACTAGCCATAATTGGCTATATAAATTTTTATTTAAGTTAATTAAGTTAAATAAAACTTAAAATTCAGGTCTTCAGTTGCACTAGACACATTTCAAATGGCTAATAGCCACTATATGATTGGTGGTTACTGTGGACAGCACAGATACGTTGCGGAAAGTTCTGTTGGGCCGTGCTGTAGAATTTGTAAGCCATGAATCCTGAATAACTCTAACTAGAATTTTAAAAATCAGTGCATTTTAACCTCCTTATTCCTTTTTATTCATTTAGCCAAAACTCATTTTTAATTAATTTAAAGTGAATATTATGTACTGTTTTATTTTAGAGAAAAAGGAAATAAATCTCATGGTATCA